TCTCTCTCTCTCTCTCTCTCTCTCTCTCTCTCTCTCTCTCTCTCTAACTCCACTACCCTCCTCGGCGCTGGACTCCTCCAGCGCTGTGCCTCATGGGCGATGAGCAGCGCAGCTGCAGTCTCGAAATGGCGCAGCAGGGAGTCTCCAAAATAGCGCAACAGCCAAGTTCGTGAACCAGCATAACGCTGGATTTCTCCTGGTACCTTCTGTGTCCGAACTGGGCAATGGCCCAGCTTAAGTAGTGCTGGGCCAGGACTGAAAACCCACGGCCTGCGTTCTGGACCGTGCAGATCGAAACTCCGATCCACGGTGCAGATCGCAGGCTTCGAAAACTGGTCCAGTCCTTGGCCTAAAACGGCCTGCCTAGGTCCCTACCGGACGTCCAGACCCTGTCCAGGATTAATCTTCCTGGTACCTGGCTTCAAACCGGTCTTGTGCGGACGTACCCGGCCTCAACGTCGGCCTGGGTTCGAACAGGTCAAAATCTGTTCGAAAAAAAAAAAAAAGGTCCAAACGCTTTTAGGAGCTCAGCCTCTGGGCCTGAATCTGGCCCTGGCCCTAGAAGCGTGTACCTGGCCACAAAACGGACAACAGGCAACCCGTTAGAAAAACAGCAGCAAATAAATAAAATAAAGACTATAAAAATAATCTAAAGCTGACGTTTTTCTGATGCAGGCCCAAGTAAAAATGTCATAGGGCCTTCAGGTTGTGGTGACGCGACCTGGGGGCCCTATTCCAACCTCGGGTCCCATGAGGGGCCTGTGTGTAGGCTTTCAGCATGTAACACTGGCTGATCGGGCCAGGACTACGGCCCACCGCATTGTTATTTAACGGCAGTACCCCCTCGTTGGTTACGCAACGATAGGTTTTCTCCTGATAAGCATTCAATCAGGATTCCCCCAAAATTCTCAATCATCACTATCCCACGGAGTAATTTCACTGGGGTGTGCAACTCCCCTTAAATTCTTATCCCGCGGTCCCACAGCCAGGTTGCGCCGACTAGCAGCCATTTAATGGGGTTACGGCCTAGAGGTACTAACCTTTACCGTTTATCTTGGCATTCCTCAATATGTCCCAGAACTAGCACAAGTGGTTAGACAGAGTGTTGCAAAACAGAATCACAAGCCCACTACGCGATCACGCAGGGGTCTAAAGACATTTACCAACCCTTCCACAATAGGCATGGCATCCTTCGCACGCTCACAAACAAAATCACCGCTAGGTCCACCAGGCCGTGACCCCTGACTTGATCAGAGTCAGCAGCCACTCATCCTGAGACATCTCTCGCCCTGCACTCATTGCGACTTTCTCAAACATTTCAAGCAAAAGTGGCCTTTTTCGTCAGAGTTTATCGCTCATCAGACAACTCGTCATGCCATAAATCAGATTACTCACCTTTGAAGGTGAGTCTTCCAACAACAAAAATATCCCCTTTTTCAAAAATCCAAGGGGCTCTCATCATAAAACAAAACACCCTCTCTTCCAAAAATCACGAGGGGTCTTGCCACAGAACAAAACACCCCCTCTTCCAAAAATCACGAGGGGTCTCACCACAAAATAAAACACTCCCTCTTCCAAAATCACGAGGGGTCTCATTATAAAACCAAACTTCCCCTCCTTAAAAATTCGAGGGGGTCTCATCATAACACACAACATCCCCTTCTCCAAGAATCAAGGGGGTCTCATCACAGAACAAACCATCACTGAGAGACCATCTTATGGGTCCTCGTCACAACTTAAGCAATCAACAACCGGCATGGTGAAGCACCCGAGTCTCAAAGACTCGTAAATCTTCTAAAATTCATAACAACCTTTCACAAACGGACTGCACTTCCTCCCCTTATACTCTGCCCCATCAGCTGCCCGTGGGCAGGGCGCACGAGTATACCGAGGAGTAGTAGACAGCTTCACATGTCACACATTCACACGTCTTTCACACAAAGCCAACATTCATCAGGATAAAGCCATACAAGTGAGAGTGATAGTGATCGTCGCAAAAACCAAGCCTCATAGGGTCTTAACTCGATATATACACCAGGATAAAATGTCTCTCTCAAAAAAATAACATAGGTACCCAGCCCTCGCGTCCCACTCTGCTGAGCAGCCCCTGTCTTGAACACACGAACACTTCGGAACATATCCAAACATACACAAAAACTCAAATTACGCAAATCTATCCCAACTGTACACGCCAACATATCACATATCTGGACACAACCCCCTAAATTATACCAGAAAAGAAAACAAAAGATTCGTCCAACACTACAATCTGCATATGTACAGATGGACAAAACTAGTCGTGACTACACCTAGATATGCACATATCTAGCTCAGTCTCTATATACAAAAAACTTTGATCCTACTGACGTATAGGCGAACCAGTCCCCATTCACTCATTGCCCCCTGGTTTCACCTATATGGCTGAGCTATCTACAACCTAAATCACTTTACCGGACCATTATTGCGAAATTTTTCCCCGGATCTAGCCTATACACATACCCCAAAGTATATGTCTGTCCTGACTCACATAATAGGCGACGGGCCTTTACCAATTAGTACGGGGTTAGGGTCACGCAACGGTCAGCCTGCTACTCCGATTTCCAGATCAATACATGTACAACTAGACTTTACCAGCACGAATCCAAGGATTCGGGGCAGGCGATTTGACAGAAGTTTCCCAACTCAGGGGTTAGGGTGAATCCCCATTACATCCTACTATACTTTCTCTGCCCTAGTCGTCTCATCCACCCTCTCCGCGCCCTTGATCACCTGGCTTACTTTAATGATCCTCTCCTTCAGCACCATCATGCCCCTTTCCTCTTTGAGCCCCACTTGTGGTTTCGCTGGCTCCCATCGTGACCTTCGGTGCCTTGCCTGCCATTCCCGCGACCTCCATTGCCGCGTCCACCATCTCCACGGCCCGTGTTGCCACGCCCGCCATCTCCACGGCCCCTTCCAACTGCTGGCCTTTGGCCCCTTCCACCTGCCATACCGTCCAGCGGCACTTGCTGCATCGACGACCATAACGGTCCAACAGGTTGGATTTGGACTGGCGGGGGCCCACGGGGCATAATGTTCATCAAAAGGCCCAAAAAATTACCTTGCGCCCAGAGCATGTAAGGATTATACGCCGGCCACAAGCTCATTTGGTTACACGGCGCCCACTGCCCATGTAAAGTTGGCTCGATCGGAGGAGGCCCCCTTGGTCTTGCCTCACCTTCCAACTCTCGCGGGGTAATTGCCACCTGCCGCGAGCTCTGCCCTTTTTCGGTACCTTGACCGCCCTGAGCGAGGTTCCTTGCTGTGCCTTTGTCAACTTGGAAGGTTCAAGTTCCCCTTTTTCTCCCGTCACACCCTTTTCCTCGCTTCCTTGAGGGGTACGGCCAGTATTTCCCCAACAATCAAATACCCCTTTTACCCAGTGCTCTGGCCACCACCCATTCTTTTGCCTCTCCTGACCTGCAGCTGAGGATGTTTCCCTGTTAGTGAGCCTCCTCTTTGGATCCGGCGCAATAACAGGCAGGGCCATATTAGCATCCTGCTCCTCCTTTATTTCAACGAATCCTTCGCCTTTGTTTTTCGCCTGAGCACCGACTCGTCTCTTTGGGGCTCCTATCGAGAGGGGCGACTCTTGGTCATCCTCCTCCACTCCTCTTTCTCTCTGGTCATCCAGCTCACTTGGGGAATCTTCTGAAACCTTCCGCTTGCCTCTCTTGGCCTCCTCCAGCCGTGCTAACCTCTCTTCCAATGCTCCCACTTGTCTCTGCAATCCACTCAACTCTGCCTGCGATGGGGCACCCACAACTGGTTTCACAGAGCATTCTCCACATTGGCCTTCTATTCCATACTCTGGGAATTTTAGCCTTAAGGAACTCTCCAACTCATCCCACGTCTTCGCCTTCTGCTTGAGGGCATATACCTCCTCACTTAGTCCTTCACAAACGAACAAGGGGAACATGTACAATATCGCCTTCCTATTCCACTTCTTTATAAGGCAAAAATCCTGAAAGTCGCGCAAAAAGTTAGCCAGGTTCCTTCCTTGGAACAGCAAGACGCGCAGATCTGGGGGCATTGACTCCTGCAACACTTCGTGCAGCAGCACCTTCATGAGGCACGAATTCCTCCAGCGCAGGATTTTAGCGAGGCCGCATTCTTCAGCCATGATGCTGACAGCAGCCTGATACGCATAGCGGGCAATAGACCATCAAACAATGATTCAAGTAAGCTCAGGCGGATAAAGATTGATTGCTAACACTTACATCACGTTATCTACCCCTTTACTCATGCAATCAGGCCTCAACCCCTAGTTACCCTGACGCTTACCTTTACAACTACGTCAATGGGTAGTGAGGTGACCCGAACCAAGTCAAAAGAAATGCATTTAGTGGAGAAAGAGGTATTCCCTATTGGCCCACTGCTGCCCGTAGCCCATCCCAGTCTTCAATTTCCTCATTTGGATCATGTGAAATGGCATATACGTCCACTATATTGGCCGTATTCTTTAGCTCCTGACTAGAGGGTGAGAACTTCGGATCTAAGTACAGACCATATATCAGTTCACACGTATAGCGTCCATACTCCCAGCTCGCACCCTCATAGCGGCTTCAGCTGCCGCTTCTACCTTTGCCGACCCACCAAAGCTCTTCTCTATGAGGAAGTTAGGCAGGGTGACTCGCAGTGTAGCAAATGGAAGCGCGAACTCTTCAGCGCACTTAACCTCTACATGGGTTAGTACTTGCTCTTCTCCGTCACGAGACACTTCCCTCGCCCATTTAGCTGTCGCTGCCTCAGCTACCCTCAAAGGCTTAGCAAGCAGGCTTCCATGCCCAAGTGCCAATTCTATCCCATGCTCGACCCAAAAGGTGGCTGAGGCATACAGGGTCATCTTTACAATTGCGCATTCCTGCTGATCGTCGAACCCAGACTCGATCCAGACAAAGACATTCGCGCCCATTATCACGCCCCACCATGATGAAATATACTCTCTTTCTCTGACCCGCCTGGGTAAAGACACCTCGAGTCCTCCCTCTTTCTTAACCGGCTCGAGCATACGCGGGTCTTCCCGTGCATAAGGCATCCTGAGTTGCCTTTGCTTTGTCTGGGTTCTGCCCATCACAGACAAATGTCCAGCATGCGCCTTCCGTTATTAGACTGACTATCCCTGCTCCTCTGGGAAGAACGACCCAGCCACACAGACTCGATGGCCAGCCATGAGACACGTGCTGGACTGGAGACATTCATATAAACTTTTACAGACTGATAAAATCCCAAATATAATCCCGATAGAGTACCCCACACGAAATACCCCTAAACAGGATATCTACTCAGCCACCTATCCTCACATACTTAGACGTAACCTAGGATATCTACTTAAAAATATGCCTTTACATTTAGACATAACCTAGGTTGGCTTACATCACTTACTACCTACCACTCCATTCAAGGTGGACAAATTAGTCCAAGTGTTAGCTCTTCCATTGCTACTCCAACTCCCTCTAGGATCAAATGTCCTTTACGTAAAGAAGGTATCACCCAGACTCGTTACGCCCCGTAGCAGAACATCCGCTTAGAATTCAAACTCAAACATGTAAGTCGATGCAAGTAATATCCTTCAGCTTTCCTTAACCTACTTCTCCTCAAGGCGCACAGACAACTTCTAACCTGCCACCTAGGAGAGGGTCTATACCTTCAGCTCTTAATAGAGGAATATTATCTCACTCATCCTTAGCTCCATTCTGTTGCAACCGTATCACGATGCTTTCCCAACTACTCAGACGACTCTTATGGCAGTCAGGGAGGGTACACCATAGGGCTAATCCTCATAATAGTCATGCTTAACCTTAGCCACGCCAAACACGCAAAGCACCGCCCAGGCCTGCCAGCTATCGGATCAGAAAGGCTACCAATCCCAAATACCATCGTGCTGGTCAAAGCCGGTGAACCCAGAATCAAAACCCTTATCACCCTCAAGTCACTCATACCGCATAAATCCAAATCAGGTCACGTCAATCAAAACCACATCGCTTAACGCTCACTTCACGCTTCTTATCCAGCACTGTCTGCTAGCAACCATTCTGCGCAGACCAGTCGATAAAGCGAAAATGATCACTTCGCCTGAATCATCAACCCGCCTCGAATCTAGATCCGAATTTTAAGGACCTCTCAGCTCTACGACACTATCAATCGGCAGTTAAGACGTCAACTGATCACTCATATCGTCCTAACGAAACTTCTCATTTGCCCTTTTTTCTCACTTCCAATACCCGGATGTCGTTCCACCAGGGACAACGGTAGGCAACCGTTATCCCTGATAACGGCACCACCTGTCGAGCGCATCGGTCCGACACCGCACGTCGGCAGCGCGGGATCCTCCCGGCCTCGTCACGCAGGAGTTGGTTTAGATCCTTCGTCGCAAATATACATGGAGCTTCCGCAAGCCGCTCCGGCCGAGTGCGCCAACCATACCTCTCGCGAACCCCTACGACAGGATAGGGCCTACGCGAGGCACAACTTACCTCCACCTTACAGGAGCTGTCACCTCCCTTCAGTGGGCGTATCCCCGCTGGGTTACCAGTCCACAGTACGAAAGCTAATCAGTTGCAATCGCAGACGTGAACCAGCCGAGGGCGTTTCTCGTTCGCTGTAGCATAGGGGGTACGCACGGTAATACGCCTGTATCTGACCTGCACGCGAACCGACATCAAGCGCGGCTCGTCGTCGGTCGATTAGGACGCATCCCACATACCACGCACACACCATATTACGAACATAAAATTATAAAACACACACACACACACACATACGAAACGACACGACCCAAGTAACGCGACAATGCTCATAGCCCCTCGGTAGCCGTCCCATAACTTTCCGAAGCGTGAATCGGATAGGCGTCACGCGCGAGACTTAGTATAAAACCACGCGGACGCAGGGCCAACTCATATCGACTCGCGATGCAAGCGCACGCAACCAGTCGCAATAATGGCGTACCATGTAGTACCCATACTCATGCGGTCCTCGTTTATCTCGAGGGTTTCTTTCGACACTCAAGTGTCGGCTGACACGCGCCTTGAGGGTTAATCTCTCGACGCTGGACAACCGTCATGCGTGGTTGAAGACCACACACCCTCTTCTGCACCTTATGCAGAGAGGGTGGTACACAGGTCCCTACCTGTGGTGGCAGTCGCCTCTTACTGCCCCGGAGATGAGTCCCACTCCGTGTCTGGGCGGAAGTCAAGGGTTCTGACTTTGACGGCTGCCACGGACTACAACGTCGAACTATAAAAATCTTCATCAAGCAAAGGATAAAAGGGGATCCCCCTTTTCTCTCAGAGACGTAATCTGGCTAACCCTTGCGCACAATTACAGTAGGGTCTCTCAAATACTCAGGGTATTCGTAAATATACAAGGGTTGATTATATAGGACGATCACTTCTCACAGTCACAGTGGGGCTCCTCTCAGCTATATATGTATGTAATCGCAGGCAATCACATCCAGAGTCCGAACCACAAACGCACCTGCAATCACATCAAAGATTCATCCAGAAGTCCACACACTACACAAGGTCAACTTCAACAATTCCTTGCACCCATACCCCTCGCTTTAGCCATACAAGCCTCACTCATGCAACTCTTAAATAAATACTCAGTACTTTTGTTGGATGGCCATTCAATAAAGTCCGGGTGAAAACACAACAAAACAGTTCAATCACAAGGCTAAAGCCTTTAGGTTGAGTGGCAGGAGTGAATTGGAGTTGAATCGTAAATCGACGAATCGGCAACCGACGTGTTATCACTGATAACAGATGATGATCCTCGTAGGATCAAGTTGAAACTAACCCAAATCCTGAACCAATCGACCGAGAAGACCTGTAACACAAGACAAGTCAATCCCAGGCTAAAATCATAAGTATATGGAGGGTACAACCCCATAACACATTCTCACCCAAGATCCTTCTAGTCGACTAAGCCTGAATCTACCTTTAAGCAGTGTCCAAAGCAAAGGTAGACTAATGGCAGGATTTCCCCTATTCAGGGTGGATCGCCAGAATTGCCACCTGTCAAAATATAATCTAACTCCTCTAAACCAGGAAAATTTCGGCAGCGCTTCCCGTAGGAAAAGTGTCTTTCCAGAATTTATATAAGTCCATATATGAAAGGAGAAATAATCTCTAACTCTGAAAAGTCAAAATTTGTCTAACTCCCTGAATTGGTAGAAATTTGGGCAGCATTCCCTTTAGAAAGGGAGACTTCCCGGATTTATACTAAGTCAGATATGAACTCAGAAGACAACCTGAGTTCAATTTAGACAAGATTTAACTAACTCCTTAGCTTTGCAGAAATTTCGACAGCACTCCCTCTAGAAAAGTGTTATTCCGAAATTTATACAAGGCTAGGTCCAGAATCTGAAAGTAACTTTGACTTCCCAAAGTTCAATCTTGTCTAACTCCCTGAATTAGCAAAAATTTGGGCAGCACTCCGTTTAGAAAAGGAGACTTCCCATATTTTAACTAAGTCAGATAAGAGAAAAGACGAAGCTGGACTTTTGACAAGTCAAAATTCGACTTACTCCTTGGATTTGTAGAAATTTCGGCAGCGCTTCCCGTAGAGAAAGTAGCTTGCCAAGATTTATACAAAGCCAAATATAAGAAAAAAACTCAGAAAATGCAAGAATTGATCTAAGTATAAAAAGTTGTTACAGAAAATGCAGGAATTGACACTAACTCCTATGGCTCTAGCACATGGCGAGCAACTAAAGCAACTACCTATCAATCTGAAACTCAGACAAACTATCCATCTCACTCAGTCACATGCAAACCAAACCACGAATGTAAGTACTCTCACCATCCCAAGTTCATTCCATATAGATAGTTTATGAATCTTTTAAGTCCTTGAACCCTTATTTCCCTCTCACATAAGACATAGAGTTGGACCATTCGCCATGGAAACAATGTCCAGCTTGCCTTTAAGATATACACGAACAGGTTGCATAACTACTCCTCTCTTCTCTTGGGCATATGACTAGGCCATTCGCCATGGAAACAATGCCTAGCCGCCCTGAGCCGTTTAATATCCAAAATTTAGTATTTCTCTAACTTTGTTTTC